ATTTTCTTTGAGCATGTTTTCTATAACTCCTCATTAATTGCCTAAAGAAGTATCTCTTCTTGGTGATAAAGCAGTTATTCAGCAAATAAATTAGGCAACTACCACATTCAGGAATAACAGAGGCCTTCAATTTGTAATAGTTTTTAATGGAATAATACAATTCTCACAACCAGTTATCTAAAAGTATTACTTATATGGCTATCTATATTGAAAATTCGGCCTCAAGTGTCTACAGCAGGTTTCCAACTCCATCTCTGAAGAATTTTTTCAAAGCGATTTTGATGAAAGCAGAGTCCTGTTCTCCACACTTCTTCTTTTACCTTTTTATTTAAAAGAAACCCATCTTTAGCAAATACTGCTACCCCGCAACTTTTATTATTTCCATCATTTTCTATGCAGTGCACACATCCAGTACCTTTAACATTCACTGTATATGCTCTTCTACATCTTCCTTTTGTATTTCAGTTTCCTTCAATTCTTGCAAAATATTCTTCATCTCAGAATACATAACTCTCTACCTTTACCTGATATTTTCCTGCTTATTTGGGCTTATTATTTTCCTGCCTATATCATCCTTTCATCAATGATACACTAAGAGCACCTGTTCAACAGAATATCCCCCTAATATCCTTATCTTTTCAGAATTAGTGCTTCTCTTAGTCTCTTGAAAGTCCACTTTTTGTTCATGTATCCTTTATATCCCTGGGTACGTGACTTTTCACATTAGTGCACTGAGATGCAATTACTTACCCATGCCCTGCTTATAGGGCAATTACAACTACCCAAATTTCTCTAGGTATCCAACTTCTCTATCTCCATGAGCAATCATCCTCACCATTCTTAAAAATTCTATCAATGATGATAGAATTTCCTCAAACTGTTGATTGAAAACCCCCCATTAGAGTTCTAGATATGTGATGATTATTCCCAATTTTTAATTAAACTTTCAGATTGATCAGCTGTGTTTCACCCATACAATACACAACATTGGACATGAGACATAGCTGGAAAAAATGTGCTGTACATTGATAGGCTAATATTAATATATCAGTCTCCCTAAGGTGTGAGAGTTGGAACAGTGTGCAGCCAGAATTCTTTCCTTTAAAAAGGAAAGTTGAAAAATAACAGCTAGGTTGATGCAGGACTGAAGGTAAAACAAGTGTGGTTATAAAATCAGGTAGCAAAAAGGTAACATTACAGTGAGAATAATACTGCTTTTTTAATATATCAACACTCCAAGGTTGTATCTGTAATTAAAGGGATTTATACTACAGATAAGAGACTTCATCTGGTAACTACTATTACTTCATACTGAGCAGAAGGTACTTTAATACCAGTTCCTTTATGCTCCAAACACCTCAAAGAATTTTACATAAATTGAGTTAAAGACTAGTAAGATTAATAAACATAGCAAAGGGTAACAGTTAAGAAATCACTACAACTTGTGGATACTTGAATGAGACAAAGAGAAAATGACAGTGAGGTTTTCTCCTATTCAAATTCAGTATTGCCTCTGACATTTCAATTTTCATTTGGCCCTCCTTTATCATCTCCCTCAACTAACTGCATGTTTAACAATGAAACCCCTTATCTCACTCTGAGATGCTGAAATTTTGTGTCAACATCAGGAAGAAAACAAAATACTGCTCTGGTATTCAAACCCAAAAAGTCCAGGTTCAAAACAAAAAATGTTGCCATTGTAACTGAGCTTTGTAATTCAATAGTAAGAATGTTCTGTGGGATATTATTGCTTTGAAAGATAATTAGAATTCCAGTTCAATAACCTTGTTGTACAAGTACTGACATATACTCTGAAGATGTGGAATCTGACACCAGATTTTATCCACATAATTGAAGTAGACTAAGATGAATGCACTATAGCCTGATTTTGTTTTTCTATCTGTTAAATATCTGCTGCAGTTACCAAGCAGCTGGACAGAATGCGATGCCTTTACTCGAAGTTGGAAATTTCATCTTATGTTGTCCAAAATTTGTGCTGTGTGGCAGAACTCCGCAACTTCCATCCAGAAGAGAGTCAGTCAACATTTGTTCTCCTGGCAACAAAGTGAATATTCCCAAATGTCTCCTGTTCTCATCTGGCTGATATTCATGAACCTTATGTTTTAATATATTGGATGGAGGCAGGTCCCAAATAGTAGAGATCAGATTGGTACAGAAATATTGCACCACGAGAGCAAAGAAGAAAAAGAAAGGGAGCATTTATGTGAGAGAAGGTAGAATCAAGTGTCTTCTTTCAGGAACTGATAATTGGAATCCAGAAAGTTCTACATTGAGTTACTCAGAAAAAGGCAGAGTTCTTGCCCTATCACGAGTCAGTACATAACCAGGAAAGTGAAGGTAAGGATGACACCAAAATTCTTCCGTGCCCATCTAAATCCATTTGACATGTCAGAATAAACTCCTCTTCCTGTATTTTCCTTCTCTTATTTCTAAGTTTTATGGGGAGAGAAGAGAAACAGAATTCTCTTTTCTTTCATCCCCACCTACCAGTTAATCATTAGAAGGAATTCTAGTGGAGACAGTTTATTCCCTCATAATCCCTTTGCTGTCTGTTGCATCAAGCAGTCGAGGGGGTGGAGGGGGGAAGTAATGCTATACATCTGTCACACATTGAGAATTTAAGGAAATATATGCTGGAAGACCTTTATTATTGTCTAAACATTTGCAGTAATTCAATTAAATGAACATGGAGGCAAAGACTTACAACACATTTCATGAGATTCACATGTGATTGTATCATGACAGGGAGAGAAAAATTGCCATTCAACATCTTCAGGGTAACAGTCAACAACAAAACAGAACTAAGAAATTTGGGGAAGAAAACAATTTGTCAGAAGCTTTCAAAAGAAAATACTTAGTTTGAGATTGCATCTCTCTGTTCTCCTACATAAATGAAACAAGTCTAGATTATTGTATTGTTTATCGCATAAGCAGCTTACAGAATTACATGGCATTCCTTTGATCGGAAATGCCAAGTATTTAACAAATAATTACATCCTCCTCCTCTCTCTTCACAGTTCAGGAAACAAATTCAGAGAAAATAAATTATTTTTCTTAGTTTGATCCACCATGTATGTGGTAGACAGGAGCTGGCAAGGTTTCCTGTATTCCATCATTTCAACACAAGATTCTTCCAAATATTTACACTTAATAGTTATATGCAAATTGATGCTTTGACTGTTGAAAGACAAAATTGCCTTCCTACTAGCTGCAAAGTTTGATCTATAGTAATGCAGTCTTTCTTCCTATATTCATCTAGAAAAGATATAGTCCTAAGTTAGCTGGCGGCTCAC